AGTCCAACCAAGCTGACAAGGCTCCGCCTATTTCTGAGTACAGGAGAAGAGGCGTTGCTCCCGATTATTGGCTCTGGGATGACGAGCGTCGCTCGGTTTCGGCGACTGAGACTGCCCACATTGGGCGACAACGCTTCGCTCGGAGTCGCACTAGTCCCAGCTTCGACATCGTTTCCAGCTTGAGCTGATTTAGCACCTTCGTCACCCTCGCCAGTGTGGTTTGGCGCCCATGCGATGACGAAGACTCCTGCGAATGTTGCTCCGCAGCCGTAGAGAAATGTGACGATTTGATGGAATGTGGCACGTTTGAAGTCGCCGTAGAGGATCGCAGAACCCACGATGGCAGATAAGTTGAACATGACAAACTGAGTGGGAACTACAATCTGTAACTCTGTCAGGATCCGACGAGCTTGACCAACAATTATGTCTGACCTTGCTGTCGAAACGCATGAGAGCTCTGTTAAGGTATCTGATCTGGCCCACACCAGTCCCAAGTAGCACCTGGTGGAATGGACCGTGTTTAGCACGACTAACACCGTATGAAAAATTCAGTCGACTTACAGCAATCACGGGGTATGTGATCCATTCGGTAAAAATTTCGAACCACTCCTTGGTCAGCAAGGTAGAGATGGCCTTGGTGGAAAGCACAGTGAATCCACCTAAACTTACAAGTCAGGGCATTACGCAGATGCCGATAAAAGGTAGGACCCACCGAAGAGAGCGCATAAGCCCACGTCAACGAAGACATACTTTTTGCCGACTTCGCTTTCAGATAAACCGGATAGAATGACTGCTCCTACGATATAGACTATTGAGTACACTAGGAAGGGTCGCTGGCATATAGCGCGAATAAGACCCTCATGGTTAAGTCGTGTATCCGAAGCGTTGGCGGATAAAACTACGGTGACAGCACCGATAATAGCAATGATGATGCCGAAGAAGTCTCGCTGTGGGGAATAAACATACGTCTTCTATAGAGATTGCTGTTGCTACTCACCGTACGGAATCTTTCTTTCAGCATAAATGGTGCAAACACACAATTGGCGATCAAGGCAAACTGTCCATAACGATCATATATACAGCCGTGATCAGGGTACATGGCCGAAGTACTTACGGTCCCGAGGGGCGCGACAATGGAAGCCGGCGCAAAGGCGTATGAGATGAAATTTCCCATCTCGCCCACATTCATGAGCAGAAAGCCTAACCACCTGAGGAGGATATAGGCGATATTAGCGTGTCAAGTTTCAGTATCATCTGAACCGTGAATGTACCATAGTTTTGACTTCAAATAATCGCTCTCATTTCCAGTCGGGTCCTCCGGTGTTTCCTGTCCTTTGTTGTCTCCGTCGCGTGGTGTCCCTGGATCCACTGTAATGACGTCCACTGGCAACAAAGACTGCTCTGCCTCTAAGTGGCTCATTCTCGCCGCACGTCTTCTCCAAGGACTCAATCGTGCGAAAATGGATGGAGACGATCGTGTACGTCCATTCGCCTGGGTATTTCTAGAACCATAGCCCTGCGTGGCTCCATTTGTTGTGCCATTGGATAATAATGGTTGGGTCTCAACTACTGCGACAGCAGGTACTTCCGCAGTTGCAGACATACGGACCCGAGCCTCGTCGCCTTCTACGGTATTGGGGTCCTCGGCCGCCTCATCAGCTTCATCTTCTTCATCGATCCTTTGGCCAGCGGCCGTAAGGTCGTTATATGGTCGTTGGTCGAGTTGATGTCCTTGCTCTCGTTCACGCTCCAAACGTCTATGCGCAAGCTTCTGGCAATTGAGCGCGAGCGATATGAGAACGTTGCCGGCGATAGCGACAGATATGCCCGCAACCTCTGCGCGACTAAGGCTCGGCAGTCTCCCCAAGTCGGGTTCAAACGGATGAAAACGAAATATCGGTGCGTCCATGGTGAGCTCCGATCTTGAGGTAGCGTGTATGCACTGGGCTATAAGAGCGATTAGTGGTTTTCTATAGGTTTGCGGGTATGATACAAGATATGCTAGTGCATCGATTGTGTCGTCAAAAGGAAAATCGGGTTCGCAAGAACATAATGGTCAGAGACAAGCAGAGGGCCTGCGCCGCCTGCCGCGCTCGCTGCGAGCTCCGTCTAGCGCGGACCGGGGCGCCGTGAGGTCAAAGATTCCCACGATCTGGCGTCGTGTCAAGCGGTCTGCGCGCCTGTCGGTCGCTGTCCGCCTCGACATTGTCCGCTACATTCTCCTGTGACTGTATGCAGCTGCTCTCATAAACAATATTCGTTCATAAATGCGCGCCAAACACTCGTCTCATTCGCTTGCGGCATTTCCGGTGTACTCCAGTGCCTTCGTCTCGTCCACTGAACTCGTACTTGGCGGAGGAGGGGGTCAATCGCGCACGGGTGTTAAGAACAAGCTCGTACGTGGCCATGTATCGCACTGTTCGACACGCTAATCTTAGCACGCATATAGAGACTCTATAACGTAAATTTCGAGAAGGACCTCTCACTTCTTGACGAGTATGAGCTCGAGAAGGGTGAAGATGCGCCTATGAGCATGGCTGCCTATGCCGCGACGCAACAGCTGGTCTGTGGTGTAAATAGCTCCCTTGAAGCACTAGAACAGGGCAAGAACCAAAACTGTCGCAAATTCCGAGTGGCGGACGGCAAGTATGTCTAGCCTCGTACATATTCGATACGCATCATTGAACAACGTCGATCCACACACGTAGATTATCCTTCGAGGCCAGTCAGAGTACGCTCGCAATAACTGTGGACACGGTCGACGATGACTTTCAAGTATGTATCGCTTATACATGCGAAGTATTCTTATCGAACACACCGTTAGAAAGTGACTGTATTATCACCAGACGGAGCGTTCGTGGCTGTCGCTGGTACAAAAGATGTGAGCCTGTCTTTTGAACATATAGTATCATGTTCATATCTAATTCGCGAGGTTCAGCTGTCGCTCTTGCGCTTTCCTTCACTAGAACCTGCTGCCGCTCCCATCCATTTGTCTAAAGGGGAGATTTACGATGCCACATTCTCTCCCGGCAATGTAAGTAGCCGGCCCTGTTTAATTCTCGCACGTAACTAATTGGCCCTATACAGCTTGTGATAGCCACCACTGTCAATCTCTTGGTATATGCGCTCCCTACCTCCAAAATCGATGGTGAAAGCGAGAAGCAGTCTGGTAAACGCAAGGATACTTCGGCCCTTGGATTAAAGCTAGAGAAGACAGTCGAGCCGCCATCGCTCTCGGGAGATAATGCCGAAAGCAGTTTCCGCTCTGCGCGATTCCACCCAGCGGACTCAAAGGTTATGTATACAGTCGTGAACACTGTTCCTCCGCGTGCACGGACAAAGAAACCGTCACGCAAAGCATTTGTCTGCAGATGGGATACTGACAAGTGGGAAATAACCAAACACCGCAAAGTCAGTGACCGGAATGTGACCTGCTTCGACATCAGGTAAGTCTCCGTGAACAAGGGTACCGCCGGGTAACTCACATGCCCCTCAGTTTGGACGGCCAATATTTGGCGTTTGGTTCTTCGGATTATACTGTCGGTATACTTGATGCGCATACATTATCGGTACGAGACTTCCTCATCGCTGCACTAGCATTTCTCACCATCATCTCTTTGACAGCCCTTGCTAAGTGTTCTCAAAGCGCACGAGTTCCCACCAACGACTCTTAGATTCAATCCAACATCGAATCTGTTGGTCTCTGGTAGCGCGGACAACACAATACGTGTTATTGCTATCCCCGACCAGCTAGTGGGTGCATGTAAGTCCATTCTTGGGATTGACCGTCTTTCGCCGCTGACAACACCATCATTATCACAGCTTGGAGCTCTTGGATTATTGTCATCGTCACATTACTCGTTATCCTATTCGCGATCATTGCCCAGCAAATGCAACAAGCATATCAATCATAGAGATAGCTAGTGGACATACTTATGTTTCTCGTCTACGTAGGTCTTTATATGAATACAGCGGATCCGTTATCATGCTACAGTACATTAGTGAAGACAAGTCAGTATACCGTTAATCATACAGAACCAGAGTCCTAGTCGTAATCCTCCTCCTCCACCAATTTCCGCTTTACGCCATTCGTAGCGTCCTGGGTCGGTACGGCTTCCATAGCCTCATCACCGCTCTCTTCTTCCTCTTCGCCTCCTGAGAACAGACCGTCCCCTTCATCCTCACTTTGTTCTTCTGGCACGCCGGGTACAGAGGTAATCATATCAATATCCTCTGGTGTCTGCACGGCACCAACAGGAGCAGGAATAGATGACAGCGACACGTCCCGCATAATGTGGTCTTGCGAGAATCCTGTCGGTTGTGTTGCAGCAGGGGTGGGTATAGGCTCCATGTCCTCATCTTCGTCCTCTGATTCTTCCACTTCCTCAACCTCCTCATCGTAGAGTTTGACCCCGGGAGGGGGCTTATTGGGCACGAGATCGAAGTCGACCGAAGTAAGACAATCCGCGGCAGAGGGGAGACGAACGCCGAATACCTCAGGCACCGCTGGTAGCGGGACCGAGTTGGTTTGTGTGGCTAGTGAAAGAATGTACTGTTCGAAGGGTTAAGCACCATGGAATAAACGGAGGCAACAAACACGAACCTCTTTCGGCACCCTCCCGCCAAATTCCCATCCCACTCGTGCTTGTACAGCAAGAGTGACGTCTTCCAGCTCAACTTTCCCCGACCTTCCCGCATGCTCTGCATAAACCAAGGCATCCGAAAGTACCTGAGAAGTATAGCGATATGAGAACTCGAGCAACTGGTGCAAAACGCCTGGTTGCGCGTCTTGTACTGTTGGCGTGGAAGCTAGGAGAAGAGCTATCGAGCGAGCTGTAGGCGGAAGAGCATCAGTCTGCGCATTGCGAGACATGGTCTGGGTGGTAGATAGTCTCGGAAGACACGCTCAGTGCACGATAGTCAAGAGCAAGGAACGTTGACAGATGGCCCCTTGTTGACCTGTATGGGTATCTAAATTTATTGTATCTAAGGCTTTGCAGGGGCATTTGGCACAGTGGTAGCGCGCATGCTTTGCATCATCGGGTGCTGCTTGCATGAGGTCCAGGGTTCAATCCCCTGAATGTCCATTTTTTGTTTCCGCTAGGTTTATTGCGTCGAAAATCCTGAAATATCATATTATCGACATAATACATTTGCTGCTAAGGCTCCAACCATTTACTTTACATTTACTCGAGATGTGTAAATAAACTGTAAAGGGTTATATACAGTTTATAAACAGTTTATAAAGAGTAAATAAACAGTATCCGAGAATAAAGCCAGATATCCC